TTCCTCCTTCTCCTCCTCCTCCTCCTCCTCCTCTTCCTCCTCCTCCTCCTCCTCCTCCTCCTCCTCCCGAGGCTGTCGTGACGATGCGGACGGTGGTCTCTAACACCGCTCGGGTCGTGCAAGCCTCGTGCGGCCTGCGCTCTCCAGCAGCGGGGGGCATCGCTCACGACCGGCGTGCCGCAGGTCGCGGCTGGCCATGAACCGCGCACGCCCGCGCCAGCGTCGACGCGGCGCGAACCTGCCGCACGGTTCACGCTGCTCGAGGACGCGAGGAAAGGATGCACAGGGGCGCTTCACGTCCATGTTGAGAGCACTGCAGCTGCGCTTCGGCGGGGCGAGGTTGCCTGGCGAATGACCCAAGAAACCAGGATGCACGGGTGCTCTTGCAGAAGCACTCCATGCAGCGAAGAGCTTCACTGTGCCACTCCTTCCCCCACTCAATCACAGAGGAGCTTGTCATATCGAGTCCGCCGACCATAGTTTGCCGAGCTGCCGGGGGTGAAAAGGCATGTGAGATATTTGGCTGTCCCCCTCCCCCTTTCTCCCTCCCCCAGGGTCCCAAAATCCGATTAGACGAGGGGGGTCTCCGGGCTCCCCAACGCCCCCCTGGGGTCACCAGAGCCTCCAAAGAGCTCCCAGACAGCCCAAGAGGGCCCACACAGAGCGCCAAGACAGTCCCAGAGAGCGTCGAGACGGCACAGGGTAGCCCCACGACGGTCCACGTTGGCTTCGAGACAGCCCACAAGGCCCCCAAGACGGCCCAAGAGTGCTTCCAGAAAACCGCCGAGAGAAGCCCCGCAAGCAAACATTGCCCTGCTCCCTGGGGAAAGCGTCCATCTTTAGCATGCTCGCTTTTTCGCTTTGGCAGCGTCCAAGACGGCTAAAAGGGCCCCCAAGACGGTCCCAAGACGAGCCATGAGGCCCCCAAGTGAGCCCCAAGACGGCTCAAGATGGCCCGAAGACGGCTCCAGGGGCTCCCAAGACGGTCCAAGAGAGGCCTCTGCGGCCCCAAGAGGTGCCCAAGAGAGCAAATACGAACTGTAAGTTCGAGCCTTCCCCCCCAAGATGACCCCAAGCCCCCTAGAGGCCCCCGAGGCGCTCCCAAGAGGCGCTAAGAGGCTTCAAAGAAGCCCCCCACGAGGCCCCAAGATGCCCCCGAGAAGCCCTTGAGAAGCATCCCAAGAGCCCCTCATATGCATCCACGCGCCTCTTGACCCACTTCATTCCTTCCACGAGCGCTGCAAACTCTCACTGCTTTTCCACACTCCGTGGACGCCCCATGGTGGCCGTCACGAGACCCCGACAACGCCCCGAAGCGGTTCCCAGCACGCTGTACGTTTGCCTCTCACAGCCTTCCTGGAAGCCTCTTGGAAGCATTTTGAAAGTCGTTGGGGCCTCTTGAGCCTTTTTGGGTGTCCTTTTGAAGCTCTTTTGGGCTGGCTGGGGGCCCTCTTGAGCCGTCCTTGGGGCCTTCTTGGGCCGTCTTGGGGGGCTCGGGCCGTCTTTGGGCTCTCTTGAGGCTCTGTGGGGCCGTCTCGGGGGCCTCCTGATTGCCCTCTAGGGGCTCCCTTGGAACCCTGTTGGGTCGTCTTGGACGCCGTTGGGGCCTCTTGAGCTCGGGCCGTCTTTGGGCTCTATTGAGGCCCTGTGGGGCCGTCTCGGGGGCCTCCTGATTGCTCCCTTGGGGCTCCCTTGGAACCATGTTGGGTCGTATTGGACGCCGTTAAGACCGAAGAAGCGAATATGCTAAAAATATACGTTGCCCAAAGGGAATGCGACGAATTCTGCCTCTTGGGGGCCCCCCGGGGGGGCCTCTTGGGCCGTCTTGACGGCCTCTGTGGCCGTCTAGAAGCCGTCTTGGGCCATCTTGGAGCGCTCTTGGGCCATTAAGGCGCCCGGGGAGCCTCTTGAACCAGCTTGGGGGCCTCTTTGGCCAGTGTAGGGGGCATTTTCGGCTGTCTGGGGTGGGTCCATGCAGGATATAGTAGTATAGGAATACGCATGCGCAATTCGGAAACAAAACACCAGGACGCATGTATAGCAATAGAGAGAGAGAGGAAAAAAAGAGACCAAGGGATACAAAGAGAGAGAGAGAGAACGAGAAGTAGAGAGCGCGAGGCATTGAAAGTGTGCGAGTACGTGTGTGATATATATATATATATATATATATATATATATATATATATATATATGTATATATACACATATATAGAGGGAGAAAGGAAAAAGAGAGAGAGAGAGAGGGAGAGAGACATACCTCTCTCTCTCTCTCTATATATATATATACTAGAACCATCGCGCGATCCTCGCGCGCGCTCAGGTTCTGGCAGGCCCCAGACCTTGACGAGTTCACTGCTCCACTGAAGTAATGGACCACAGATGGTTTGAACGGGAAGTGAAGAAGCGCCCATAACGCTGAACGCATTATGGGCAGTGAGAGATCCATGCATGTCAATCCGCATTCCGAAGGCTTTTGGGGAAGATGGCTGCGTAGGGGAGCGGAAGACAGATGAATCGGGTTCCCAGAAGGCCTACTGGGAACATGGGTTTGGGGGGCGTCTTGGGGGGTCTGTTGGGGCGTGCCGTCGTCGTCGTAATATCGTCGTCGCCTCTTGGGGCGCGCCGTCGTCGTCATCGTCCTCGTCTTCGTCGTTTCGTCGTCTTCGTCGTCGTCGATTCAAAAAGGGCACTTGGGGCAACTTTGTGCGAAACGATCCGCGAAGGGCCACGAGAAGGCGATCAGTCGCGGCGATCAGTCATGTTCCCAGTCAACTTCCAGACAGCTCTCCGGCAGCGCGATGGTACTTCGGAGCCTCCGGAGACTCTCGGGCCCATGATAAACCGTGTCCCCGGAAAGCTTTCTGGGGACATGATTTGTTGGGGTGTGTCGGGGGGCCTCTTGGGCGTTCCCTGGGGGCCCGTTGGGGGCCTCTTGGGGCTTCCTGGGGACTTCCTGGGGGCCTCTTCGGGCCTCACTGGGCTTCGTGGGGGCCTCTAGGTGGCCTCCGAGTGCCTACTGGGAGCCTCTAGGGCCAGAGACCTCGAGAGATCAGTTCGCGGTCCCCCTCTGGGCCCCCTCTTGGGGCGCTCTTGGGGTACACTTGGGTTGTCCGGGGAGCCTCCTGTTCCGTCTTGGGGCCCTCTTCGGGGACTCGTGGGCCGTCTTGGAGCGATCTGAAGGGCCTCCGAGGCCGTGAGGGAGCGCTGGGAAGCGGGAAAAGCGAGAACGGATAAATCCTTCACAAACCATCGGAAAATAAATTATTTGTGCCTCCCAGGGCCCTCTTGGGGAGCCTCTTGAATCCGTCCTGGAGCGCGTTGGGGTCCTCGTCGGCCGCCTTGAGGGCATCTTGGGCGTCTTCGGGGCCTCTTGGGACAGTCTTGGGCCCTCTTCGGACCCCCTTAGCATGTGGTGGCCTGTTTCAGGGAGGGCCCAGGCCGTCTCGGGGCCTCCTGAGAAGCTTTCAGGGCGGAAAAATAAAATTTAGACTTTTTGTTCCCCGTCGTGGGCCCCTCTGGAAGCCTTCGCGGGGCCCTCTTGGGCTTTCTAGGGCCCTCTGGGGCGTTGGGCTGTCTTGGGGCTGTCCAGGGCCGTCTTCGGGCCGTCTGGGGGGCCTCCTGGGCAGTCTTGGGGCGCTCTTGAGGACCTGCTGGGCCTTGTTGGAGCGTCGGAAAAGTAAAAAGGCGATCAAAACCAGAAACATCGAAAAAACACAATGGAAAATCATACATTTTGGCCTCTCGGGGCTCTCTTGGGACGCTTCTTTGGAGCCTCTTGGGGCGGCTTCGGGGCTTCCTGGGCTGTCTTGGGGCCATCTTGGGTGTCTTCGGGGCCTCTTGAGGCTTTCTTGACCATTTATACGGCCCGCGTGGCCTGTCGTGGGCAATTTGGAAATGGCCTGGGGCAGTCCCGGGGGCTCTGTGACCCCCCAAAGGTCCCGGAGGGCGCCCATGGAGGAGGATGGCGCCGGCCTGGCCCCCCCCCACTGGCCCACTCCGATGTATGTACGCGGGGCGCCGCGTCCGCGATGTTTCTGGCCGTTTCGCTACGGACATCCTCGAAGTTCTGAAAATCGGTGGCACCCCTCACGCAGATCGTGACGTCAGCGTCCAAAAACACATGGGAATTTCAACATTGTCACATAAAACCTTCAAAAACACATGGTAATTTCAACAATCTTGACCCCGATTCTCAGAGAATGGCGGTTTCGCCTGAAACATCCTCCCAAAATCGAGCCCCGACGTACCCTCTGGTACCCCAGACCCCGCCTCGGAGCCTCCTAGGGGCCTCCTGGAACCTCCTGGGGCCTCCTGGAGCTTTCTGAACCTTCTGGTACCCCAGACCCCGCCTCGGAGCCTCCTGGGGGTCTCCTGAAACCTCCTGGGGCCTCCTGGAGCCTCCTGCAGCCTCCTGGAGCCTCTTGGGGCCTCCTGAAGCCTCCTGGGGTCTCCTGGGGCCTCCTGAGGCCGCCTGGGGCCTCCTGGGGCCTCCTGGGACCTCAGAACTACATGCACACACAGAGACACAATCACGCCCAACACGTCACACGCTGACAAACATAACAGACACAATACCTACAACGCACAAAAAGCACGCACAACACAGAACACACTTCACACACACACACACACACACAACACTCACAATCCTGGGGCCTCCTGGAGCCTCTTCTGGTATCAAAGTCGGGCCTCCTGAGGCTTCCTGGGAGGCCCTGGTACACACATCGCAAGGTGTGGCAGCCCCACTTGAGCTCGAGTGCGACTTCGCTGTTGCATGTCACTCCTGCTTCAAACGCCCTTTCAGTTTTTGTATGAGCCTGGCCACACACGTGCCACCTGTGTATATATATACACACAAATGTATTTGTATATATGCATGTATGTAAGTATATAAATATGTGTTCAAACAAGATATAGTATACATGTGCAAACAACCAAAAAAACAGGCACGGAGAGAGAGGGGGTAAGCGACAGAGACTGCGGGTGCACTCCGGCGCGCCTCAGTCCCCGAGCTCGCCCAGAAACACCATCCTGGGCGGCGCGCGTCCCAGAGCCGATCGGGACAGGCCGACGTCTGGTCAAGCTGGCACAACGCACTTCTCATCGTCGTGCTTCTCCTGCTCCGTCGTCGTCCTTCTCCTGGTCCGTCCTCCGTCCTCCGTCCTCCCTCCCTTCTCCTGCTCCTACTCCTCATATCATCATGCTCATCCCCCGCTCTCCAGCGCTATCCTTGCGTACCTCTCTCGATCCTTCTCCTCCCACCTAGCCCTGACAGCTTATGCAAGCTGAAAACCCCCAAGAGACACACGGATGGAGGGAGCGTGCTTTTCAACGTGTATCTCTCGTAGTTAGCACTGCGCACACTCGTCTTGTCAAGCCTCCAAACTTACGCTGATGGAGGCGGGTGAGTTCCAGAATGTGGAGGGCACATTCGACCTGTAAGCTTCAAGCAGTCACACGTGTGAAAAAAATTGTCCTTCTCAAACTGGTGCTCTCGTTTGCTAGCTCCTCAACTGTGTCTCACTTGAGACGTCTTGAAATTGCATACCCAAAATATAATCTGCCAACCTCCGCTTGCCGGGGGTGGAAAGCCGTGTGAGACATTTGGCTGTCCCCATCCGTCTCAGGGCTGAACCTGAGCGGTGTTTTTCGTTTTCGTGTTGTGTTCGTTTTCCCTCGTTTTGTCTTCAATCCGCCTTTAGCGCAAGACGACATCGAAACGAAAACGGTCCGAAACACCGTTTAAGTCCACCCCTGATCCGCCTTTCCCCATCCCCTGGGGTCAAGATTCCTGCTTGAGGGGGCAGGGGGACAGGGGGCGAGCTCGTCAAAATGCGTCTCTAAGATAGCTCCAGAGCGGCTCCTGCACGCTGGAGCGACCCCCAGAACACCCAAGATTGCCCGAAGATGGCCCAAGATGCCAAAACCCCCCTTACGAGATCCCCAAGAGAAGAGAGCCCCCCAAAGAGCCGCACGAGGCAAAAACCCCTGGGTTCCCCACATGTGTGGATGAATGATGCTCGCGATCTTGCAGTCTCGGGCTTCTGAAACTCCACCACGACCCGAGAAGCCTCTCCGACCGGCCCACGATGAAGCGGCTCTCCTTCAAGAGCGGTAATATATCGCCTGAGTGGCAAGCCAACAAAAAGGGCGCTCGTCTTTCAGGGGGGCGCTTCCCGAAATGAAGGTGAACGCATGAATGGACTTCAGGCGGTAAACCTGAGATGAGAGGGTGTGATGCGTCCTGGGGTTGCTCTTGTCATCCTGTTCCTCCTCCGATCTGCTCACTCATCCCTCCTCCTTCTCCTCCTCCTCCTCCAGCTGTAGCCCGGAGCCAACGACGCCATGGACTGCATCCCATTCAGTCAGAGGCCTGCACCTTCCAAGAGCACAAAGCACACCCCTTGTCCTTCCTCGTCCTCCCCCCCGTGCTCATGCACCCTCCTGACTCCTGGTGAAGGGAGCTGCCAACGTACACGACGCTGCCACGCACGAGTTGCAATGCTCTGTCGCTTCAGCGAAATTCGTGGCCATCGCGAACCACACACAAAAATTCGGCGTGGCATTAGGCCGTCACGCGGGCGCCATCGGCACTCCGGGAAGGCATCGAGGGGGAAGGGGGAGAAGCAGTCCCGAGACGCCCCCCCACACAACCACCAGTGGCTGCATTGACCGCATCACGAACACCAATGGATGGTCAAATGGCCACCTGCGGACCCCGCGAACACCATCTGTGAATGCAGGCAGGCTCGAAGAGGGTTCTGACCCACCTTTCCATACTCAAAATGAATCATCTGTCTGGGCACGCTCGGCGTCTGACAGGGCTCCCAGATCCCTGATGCGCAAATGCAAATAGATCAGAACAGCCGCTGCGGAACGGCGCACGTCCCCACATACATCGCAGCTGATCTTCCTTGCTTGTCGGATATGCCGTTCGCGGCTTCGGTAAGAGCTGTAGCTAGGCTGCGCAGACCTGAGTACAGGTAAGATTCGTCAGGGCCGGCGTTGCTTCCTCCTGCTGGTGTCAAGCTTTTCTGTCAGTTCAAAGTTTCCAAACACAGGGCAACCCCTCACCCACGTCCGTGTCTGAAGTAGAAGCTCTACCCCTGCCAAGCTAGATTGCATTCAACCTCTTCCAGGCGAGAGAAACGTCGCTCGTAAAACGGGCATGACGTGGAACTTCTGAAAGCAAAAACGGAGAGAGCACGCATTTGTAACCAGGCTCTCGAGAACGGATCAGTCCGTAGGGCTGCGACGAACATTCTCGAGAGAATTGCTCAGGAAACGCGATCGAGTGACGTCCACCATGTAGGCATTCCAAAGACTCGCATCTTCAGAGAGCACGCTTAGCGGGGAAACATCAGTTCATGCGTACCCTGGTTTGCTAAATCGAAACACCAGCCTGAGCATCAATCATCCTTCCGAACCATCTCCAGCAGCTGCGACGAAGACGTCCACCGACCAAACTCCAAAAAACAAATGATGCGATCAAAAACGGAATTACCGGTACCGAAAACACCCCCGAGCTCACTGAAACAGAGGCAGGCGTACGCGTGCACACGCAGGAGAAGGATGCACAGCCCGAGTCCTGTCGGAGGCCATGGACCCGATGATTGGCTCCTTGGGGCGGGAAAGTATCTCATGCGACCTCCACTAGATGAACGACGTTCGCACCTCGGGCTGCGAGACGAGCAGAAACTGTCGCGCCCTCTGAGCCCCTCGGGAGTGGGGAACAGAAGGGCGTGTGGAATATGCTTCTCCGGGGATCGCGGGAGAGCGCTTCTGCGATGCGCTTCACGCCGTGGAAACCGTCAAGGGCTCGGAGGGGTCTGCGCCGCCTGGAGGCCCTATGGGAGAAGTTCATTGATGACCTTGGACTCTCAGGATGATCGCTTCTAGCGCCGAGAACACCCGTAGGAGAGCAGGGAGGTGCCCTGGATCCCCCCTGGACATGCCTGGTAAAGCTTCAGAGGGCTCCCCCCAGAGGCCGAAGGAAGACACTGCAGGACACTAGAACTCATGGAGACACCCGTGGAAGCCCTCGACGCACTCTGGACGCCGCTGGGGGCCGCTGGAGAGCCCGTGGAGCCCATGGATGCCTGTAGCGCCTGTGGTTCGAGGGGTGCTTCTCCTGAAGCATACATTGGCCAACCTGCAGGCCCCCAGGAGGGGACCAGAAGGACGAGGAGGACGAGGAGGGCCAGTGTAAACCCAAGATGCATCAACGAGGTTGCAGGAAAGCCTCCCTGCAAGTTCCCTCTTGGCAAGTCCCTGCAAAATGTTGTCCTCATTGCGGGAAGTGCCCCATTGGAAGACAACCCGCTGAGAATCCTCGATCGCACTAAAACACAATTCCTGTGGAGTTCAACGCCGCGAATCCTCACGAATGATGCGTCCTGACCGCCCTAGATCGTGCCCGCACCTCAAGACCGTCTGCTGCGTCCCGACAGTCCTGGGCCGTGCCAGAACACCATTGCTGGAACTTCAACCATAAGAATATTTGAGCGGCGCTACGGCGAGAACCAGTGCGGCGCTACGGCGAGAACCAGTGCGGCGCTACGGCGAGAACTTCAGACCACCAGTGCGGCGCTACGGCGAGAACCATATGTTAACTTAGCCTGACGGAGAACTCAACCACATGCAGAGCAGGTGTGGGCACCGTCGTTGTATGCACCGCACTCGGTGGAGCTCCCCATGGGGCCACGGAGCGTGCGAGGGGTGCGCCCGAATGGGTGCGGTGGGCGCACGCGAGCGCTGGCATTTGGGCCCTCGATGGACTCCCTGGTGGGCCACGGAACGTGTGAGGGGTGTGCCACAACGGGCGCGGTAGGCGCATGCGAGCGCTGGCAGTTGGGCTTCTGGTGGAACTCCCTATGGGGCCGCGACGCGTATGAGGGGTGTGCCAAAATGGGTGCGGTGGGCGCATGCGAGCGCTGGCACTTGGGCCTTCGGTGAAGCTCCCCATGGGGCCACGAAACGTGTGAGGGGTGTGCCAAAATGGGCACGGTGGGCGCATGCTAGCGCTGGCACTTGGGCCTTCGGTGGACCCCACCCCTATGGGGCTACGAAACGTGTAAGTGGTGTGCAAAAAATGGGCGCGGTGGACGCATGCGAGCGCTAGCATTTGGGCCTTCGGTGGAGCTCCCTGTGGGGCCATGAAACGTGAGGGGTGTGCCAAAGTGGGCGTATGGGCGCATGAGCGCTGGCAGTTGGGCTTCCGGTGGAACTCCCTATGGGGTGCCAAAATGGGTGCGGTGGGCGCAGGCGAACGCTGGCACTTGGGCCTTCGGTGGAGCTCCCTATGGGGCCACGAAACGTTTGAGGAGTGTGCCAACACAACATGAAGGGGGAGGGGGGGAGGGAGAGGAAGAGGGGAGGAGGAGGAGAAGAGGAGAGGAGTAGACGCGGGGATCTCTTCAAAACGACGACCGAACACCACAGGATGGTTGGGAAACAAAACCTCCATCCTTGAAACTGCTGCAAACCGCAAAAAGAATGCGAAGCGCCAAAGCGAGAGCCACAATTTGAATACGGGCCGCTCTCCATCCGTGAAGCCGTTGCGCGCGTGCTGCTTCGGGACCGAGTGTGGCAACAAAAATCTCGAGAAAAACGCCGAGCCCGCCTTACGGCAGGTTCGCGTCGTGTCGACTCTGGCGTTGGTTCCTGACACCGCGGGGATCGTTCGAACTTGAACGATCGGCCCTTTCAAAAAGGCGGGATCGTTAAAGAATGGACCGATTCTGGACCACAGGCGGCGTTCAACCTTGAACGCCCGCGGTGGGGTCGCCGCCGGTCGACACGACGCGAACCCGCCGTAGCCACACGTCTGGGGGTGCGTTAGGGAGGAGATGTTTCCAAGGATGGGATTGGGGGGGAGGAGGAGGAGGAGGATAAGGAGGAGGAGGAGGAGGAGGAGGAGGAGGAGGAGGAAGAGGAGCAGGAGGAGCAGGAGGAGCAGGAGGAGCAGGAGGAGAAAAAGGAGGAGCAGGAAGGGGAGGAAGAGGAGGAAGAGGAGGAAGAGGAGGAAGAGGAGGGAAAGAACGAGGAGGAAGAGGAGGAGGAGGAGGAAGAGGATGAAGAGGAGGAGGAGGAGGAGGAGGACGAGGAAAAGGATCCTTGTGGGGAGGAGGGCGGAGGGCCGGGAGCAGGAGGACCATGCACATGAAGGAGGGGGAAGAGCAGTTTTCGCGGGCTGCCGGGAGGGCCTCGCGGCCTCCCCGCGGGGCCGGGCAGGCGGAAGCCTGCGACCCTGGAGCCTGGGAGCTCTCCGGCTTCATCGGGCTTCCCTGCTGGGCCACCGCGACGCGCGACGCGCGATCGTCCTCGCGCGCCGCGCCGCTCCTCCGAGCAGGGCGGCCTCTCGCTGGCCCAGGCCGCGACGCGCGAGGCGCGGTGGCCGTCGCGCCCCCGCAGGCGGCCTAAAAAGAGGCTCCCGCGGCGCCCCCCCCCGGCGAGACCGTGCAGAAGAAAGCCTTGCGAACCTGCAGCCCAGCAGCTCTCCCGTGCCGTCGGTCCCCCGCGGCCTCCACGCGAGGCCGCTCAGCGGGGGGCCGAGACAGGCCCAGACCCCCTCGCGCTGTGAAAAAAACACAACGGGAGGTTTTTCGCTAGTTTCGGCCCCTGGGGGCCCTTACCGGGCATCCGGACCGTCAAAAAACGATTCAGAACGAAAAACCGGTCCCGGGAATGGGTCGGGGCCTCTAGGGGTCGCGTCGTGAAAAAAGCATGACGTCGGGGGTCTGGGGGGGAGGGCGGGGTTCACTTTGTTAGGGAGCTCCCGAGCGAAGTGAACCCCACCCTCCCCTCAGAAATCGTGGGAGGCGGGGGTCGGGTTCGCATGTGGCCCCCGACCCGCGGCCTCCACGCGAGGCCCCCCCCAGCTGGGGGCCGCGACAGGGGAGGGCTGGCTCAAAGGAGGGGGGGGGGGCATCGACTCGGAATCGGCGGCGCGTCGGCGGCAGGCCCCCCGTGCGGCGAGTGCGCACGCGCGTGGGCGGAGCGGGTCAGCGGGCCCCTGTCGGCCATGAGTGGGCGCTTGGGGGCCCATGCGTGCCCCCTGAACGTGTCCCCTGGTGGTTTTCGGGTCACAGTTCCCAGACCCCCTCGAGTAATGAAAAAATCATGACGGGAGGTTTTTCGCCATTTTCGGCCTCCGGGGGCCCTCACCGGGCCTCGGGACCGTCAAAAAACGACTCAGGACGAAAAACCGGTCCCAGGGAATGGGTCGGGACCTTTGGGGGTCGCGTCGTGAAAAAAGCATGACGTCGGGGGTCTGGGAACATGTCCCCTGGTGGTTTTCGGGTCACAGTTCGGGCCCTTGACCGGGAGTCGGCAGACGGGGGGCTGGGGCCTTGTATTTTGCATCTGCTTCGGGCGCGCCAGACCGGACGCCCCAGGACCTTGTCCTGCGCCCAGCCCAGATGTTCAACATGATTCCCACACCGTACCCAGTATCCCACAGGGGCGACTTGTGGCCGGACGAACCCACACGGGCAAGAAACAAAAACTGCAATGCAGGAAAAAATCGGCATTGCAGATGTTCAAAATGTCCCGCAAAAATGCTGCAGAACAAAACAAACAAAAACTGCAGTGGTGAAAAAATACTGCAAAATCTGCATCGGGAAGGTCCTGCGGCGGCAGCGCGGCTCGCCTGGCCCCGGCGTGGTTCGCTGCACGCGACTTGCAAGAACGCAGCCGAAAAAGCTGCCGTGGCAGGCCGGCTCCGTTCCGGAGGCCTTATTACAAGGCATAAGAAGAAAGTTCACCCCAGGTCTGCCAGCCCCGGGTCTGCGTTCCCACGATCGGGACAATCCAGGCACCCCCGGAACGCCCTCGGCGAGGCGCAGCTGCTGGGAAGCACTCCGAGGCCAAGAAACCGTCAGGAACCGACGAGAACGGCCGGAAACCTCGAACCTCGAGCCTCGAGCCACTGATCCCATCCCCCCCAAGCGTTGCCCCTGAGGAGGAGGAGGAGGAGGAGGAGGAGGAGGAGGAGGACGAGGAGGGGGGGAGGAGGAGGAGGAGGAGGAGGAGGAGGAGGAGGAGGAGGAGGAGGAGGAGGAGGAGGAGGAGGAGGAGGAGGAGGAGGAGGAGGAGGAAGAGGAGGAGGAGGAGGAGGACGAGGACGAGGAAGGGGAGGAGGAGGAGGAGGAGGAGGAGGAGGAGGGGAGGAAGAGGAGGAGAGGAGGGACGGAGGAGGAGGAGGAGGAGGAGGAGGAGGAGAGGAGGAGGAGGAGGAGGAGGAGGAGGAGGAGGAGGAGGAGGAGAGGAGGAGAGGAGAGCGAGGAGGAGGAGAAGGAGGGCGGCCTGATCCAGGGATTCTCGGCAGCCCCCTGTCGGCGCCCCTCTCAAGCACAGGGGGGGGGGGGGGGGGCGGGCGCCCGCGCGAGAGGCGCGCTGCGCCTCGGGGCGGCGCGCGGCGAGCGGGCGAGGGCGCGGAGGCAGGGAGGACGGGGGCGAAGGGAGGCGAGGCGATGCGAAGGAGGGCGGGAGGGAGGGAGGGAGGGAGGGAGGGAGGGAGGGAGGGAGGAGGAGGAGGAGGAGGAGGAGGAGGAGGAGGAAGAGGAGGAGGAGGTGGCTGTGGCGCGGGTCGCGCGTGACTGCGACCCGTGAACGCGTCGCCTGCTCCACTCGCGCCGCGTGAGGGGGCCCAAGGACACACACATAAATACACACAAGTAGCGAGATTCCCCATACGTTCCCCTATGCTCTGGGTTTTTGTCGTCCCCCCCACTGCCAATATGTTCCCATATATTCTGGAAAATTGGCGATTAATTGTGTCTTTGTGCTTGTTTCAATCCTGAGGTGAGGCGATGCGAAGCGAGGGCAGGGAGGGCGTCGCGCGTCGCCGCCCAACCTGCGCCGACGAGGCCAGCTCGAGCACGCGTTTGACCGCGGTCTGCGCATGCCCGATCGCCAGCAGGCCGTTCGGGGCGTCGCGCAGCTGCCACTGAATCGCCTGCACAATCGCCTGGAGGCCGTTGATTGCGCCCGTCGTCGCTCCGCCGTCGAGGAAGCCGCCGTCCGCCTGGAACATCTCCGCAGTCTGCTGCGCCAGGGCCGCAGCCCGCCGCGCCGCCTGAGCAGCTGACTCGCGCGGCTCGCCCTGGTCGGCGTTGCCCCTCTCGCCCTCGGTCACCCAGCCGACCACCGCGCCAGATGCCCTTGCTGCCCCATCCGCGCTGGCCCCTACAATGCTTGAAACTGTCCTCGGGGCGCGGACGCGTCGTGGTCGGCGCCAGGCATGGCCGGAACAGCCTGGCCCGTGGCCGGCGGCGTCGCCCACCGGGCCGGCGGGGCGACCCGCGGGTCGGGCTTGGGAGGAGGGCCGATCGGTGACGCGTCGGGCCGAAGGGCCGGCGGCCCCGCGACCCCAGCCGGCACCGCCTGGATCGCGGGCGCCGCGGGGGGTCCCAACGGCCGCGACCGCTGCGGCCATTGCCACTGCTGTCGTTTCCAGAGTCGGGCTCGCTGGCCCCATCGGCGATGAGCGACTCGGTCATCGGGGCGCCCTCGGCATCCACGGCCACGGTCGCGCGGGCCGGGGCGGCGGGGCCGCCCAGGTCGCCATCTGCGCGGGCGGCCGCCGCCGCCTAAGTCGCCGCTGCGGCCGTCGCGGCCCGAATGGCTGAGTCGGCCATCATCCGAGACCGACGTTGACGACGAAGCTCGGCCGTCTCCACCACCGCCCTCGGTTGGCCCTCCCCCCTCAGGTCAGCCCAGCGCCGTGATCGCCCCAGCATCAGCCATCCGCCGTGGCGCACCGCCACTAAATTTCAAACTGAAACGAATTCGGCGCCAGAGAAGCAAAGCGCTCGAGCGCCGCTGCAGGCGCTGCGGGAGAGAGAGCAAGGGGGCGGACAGCGTCGACCACGCGATGGCCAGGCCCAACTTCGCGAGCTCAGCGGCCACTCCTAACACCCCGAAACTCAATCTGTCGTCGGGCAATTCCATGACGCGCTGCCGGTTGTCAAGGAGGTTCAAACCGATGATGCGCGGCACGTCCTCCGCCGGCGCCGCTGCCCCCATGGCGCCGAAGACCCCGAACAGACAAAACGGGGATGGCGCGGCGCCGATCGATCCCACGCGCTCCTCGGGTCGCCCAATGCTCTCGGGGAACCTCGACGCGCTGCGTGCCCAGCTCCGCCAGCGCGGCTGATTCCCAGTCGGGCGCCCGCGCGCCCGCCAGGTCGCCGCCCGCCCCCGGATGCACGAGGCCCAGGGTGGCCTTCGAGACCAGGAAGGTGGCCTCGCGGTTGATCTCATTCTCGTTCTCCTCCCAGAGGGACAAAGCCCGCGGCGCGACCAGCTCCTCCCGCGAGAGGTCGGCGGCGCCTGCGAGGGCGCGAGCCGACAACGCCCGGCGGGCGCCATCGGCTCCAATGGCCCTTCTGGCGGCACAGCGTGCACTCCGTGACCTCCACGCGTTGCTCGATCGTGAGATGTGGCCTCCTGTCGGGCGCTGGTGGAACTGGGTTTAGCGGAACCTGGTTTAGCGATCTGTACCGAGGGCGCCCCCCCGCCCCATTTCCACTGACTGGAACTGCCGTCCACCGAAAAAACACCCGCAAACCTGGCTTGGCGATGCTGGCCAATCCAAAGGCTCTGGGGCCCCACCGCTAACCAGGTCTCCTTACCCGGGGCCCTGGCCATGCCCGACCAATGGCCCTTCTGGCGGCACAGCGCGCACCCCGTGACCTCCACGCGCTGCTCGATCGTCCGGCGCGGCCTCCCGGGCCCGCGGCCGCCCCCGCGCAGCCGGCTGACCTCGGCCCCGGGCCGGTCGCTGGCCGCCGCGAGGGCGCGGCGGTGGCGGAGGGGCCGGCCCCCAATCCAGGCGCGGGCCGCCTCGGACCGAAGTGCTCGCGGTGTATATGTATATGTATATGCATGTGTATATGTACATGTATATGTATATGTATATGTATATGTATGTGCATATGTAAAAGTATATGTATATGTATATGTATATGTATATGTGTATGTATATGCATACGTAAATGTATGTGTACGCGTATATGTATATGTATATGTATGTGTATGTGTGTATGTGCATGTGTATATGTATGTGTACATGTATATGTATATGTATATGTATATGTATACGTATATGTATGCGTATACGTGCATGTATACCTAACTCTAAATGTAAATGTATGTGCATACATGTGTATATGTATGTGTACATGTATATGTAGGTGCATCTTTATATGTATATACATAGATGTATGCAGATTTACATGTATATGTGTATGTATACATACATGTAAATGTCTGTGTAAAAATGTATGTATATGTAGATGTAAACGTATAGGTAATGTATATGTATATGTATGTGTATGTGTTTGTGTATGTGTATGCGTGTATGTGTATGTGTATATGTATATGTATAGGTATGTGTGTATGCATGTGTATATGTATATGGACATGTATGTACATATGCATATGTATATGTACTTGCATATGCACATGTAATTGAAAGTGTATGTGTGAATGTATATGTACAGTTGTATGTATATGTATATGCATACGTATATGAATATGCATATGTACATATATAGATTTGGGTATGATATGTATATGTATATGCATATGCGTACGTAAATGTAAATGTACATGTAAATGGAACTGGATGTAACTGTGCATGTACATGTAAATGCAAACGTGCATGTAAATGTACATGTAAATGTACAAGTAGATGTATATATATATATGTGTGTACGAATGCATACATGTATGTATGCATGTATGTATGTGTGTACGTATGCATGTACGTATATATGCATGTGTGTATGTGTGAGTATATGTTTGTGTATACATAGATAAATACATACGTAAATACCTAAACACATGCATACACACATACGTATATATACACATACATGCATGCATACATGCAAACATATATGCATGCATACAGACATGCATGTATACATACATACACGAATGTAGGCATGCAAGCATACATACCTACTTACAAACTTACATACATGCATGTAGGCATGCATACATACATACACACATGCATGCGTAGATGCATGCATACATACATGCATACATGTATATATATATATATATACGTACGGACGTACTTACGTACATACAAACATGCATGCTTGCATGCATATGCATACAGACGTACTTTCATACGCATACAGGATCACGTATACGTACGAACGCATCCAGGCATAGACATACACGTATGAATATGCATACACATATACGCATGCGCACAAAAGTACAAGTGTACATGCATGCAGCTGCATAAACTCATGCGTGTGCACGTGCATGTTCAAAATCACAAACACTATACACTTGCATGTATACATGTAAGGGTATATAGAGACGTGCGTACTCATGTATATATATTTGCATGCACACATGCACACATGGATAGCAATCTACAAATGCGTAAACAGACAGACAGACAAATACATATACAGTTATAGGAGTAGTGATACTTACATATGATAAATGCATACACCTGCCATATATGTGCATAGATACAGGCAGCTAAACGAATGCTCATACCTACATATATATATATATACGCATTGTATTTAACATAGACAGAAAGACGGACGGAAAGACAGACAGACATACCGACTGGGCATCGCTCGGACGTCCATTCCCTGTTTTTGTTTCGGTTTCGCGCGTGGTTTTTTCGCCAAATGATCAAGGATGCTCCTCGATGGTCCTCGCCGAAGGAAAAATGCACACGTCCGAGCGATGCCAAGACCGATGGACGGACGGATCGACGGACGGACAGACAGACAGAGGGAGGGATGAGACGTGACAGCAAAACGAGCAGCCCTCCTTCGGGTGGAAGCAAATCTCGTTGACGCTGCCCGTGTGGCCCGGTAGCCTGTACGCGAGCTGCAACTGCCGCATGTCCTTCGGCCAGGGCACGGGCACCGCTGGTGGGAAGGGGTGAGAGGGGCAGCCTCCTCCTCCTCCTCCTCCTCCTCCTCCTCGTCCTCCTCCTCCTCCTCCTCCTCCTCCTCCTCCTCCTCCTGGCAGCACTAGGCTGGGAACATCGACCTGGAATCGGCGACGTATCGCCGATGGATCGGGGATTGGCCC